GAGAGAGGGGGATGGGGGGTGGGGGTGGGAGTGGACAGAGAGAGAAGGATAGAGAGAGAAAGACAGAGAGAGAAAGCAGAGAGAATATGCAGGAGAAACGGAGAGTTCACACGTAATAATAAATGGAATTCTTTAATAAAAGCTTCAGGTTCCACAAATCTTTGTAAAGTATTCTCTCAAAAGCCATTTCCTCAGTTATTTCCCCTCATCTCCAGCCTTTGCTCCACGGGTCTGATTAACTGGCCAAAAAGGTTTTTAAAATTTTTTTTATAACACAACATCACCACGCAAGTAAAATGTGCTAAAGACTTAAAGGAGACAAAACACAGTTGATTTCGAAGGTAGAACACTCAGTCCTCTTTAATTATGAAGCGAGTAATAGCAACCCGAAATAACTGCTTGAGTAAGGGAAACAATTACTTCAAAAAAATCTTCTTAAACAGCTGTAAGCAGAAAAGCACAAAAGCCTTTTTAATAAGTGAAAGACAAATCTAACAAAACTTTGAAATGTCGAAATATTAGGAAATGTTTCAAACCTTAGTAAGCCCACAAAAAGCACATTTTTCTAAATGAACAAAATGACAGATAGAAAATATACAAAGCAAAACCATAATACAATACAATTGTTAGTACACTGACTATATAAACAAATCGAGATACTCGTTAAATGACTAAAACATGTTAGGTGGTCCCTTGTCACTTCACTTGTCGTCTTGTGCTCGCCACTATGGCGGCCTTCTGCTCTTTCTCACCACTATGGCGGTAATCTAAAGATATCAATGAACAAAAACAATCAATCAACAATCGAATAACTAAACTTGAAGATCACAGTCAGTATTGAATGATAACGGCCAAAGATTGAGACTTGTTTGTTACTATATGGCGAATAAAGCCAGGGTCGAATGATGATACCTAAGAAAGGTCTAATACTGAATACATGTAAAATATTTATCAAGTAATAAGCACGCAATAGGCTTATCGAATCTTTGATCTATACGGTGATAACTTATAACCATACAATCGTAATAATATTGGAAGTTTCAAATTGAAATCGATTAGTTATTTGCAGAGGTTTAAGAAAATAAAAATCGGATGATGGAAAATCGGATGAAGGGAAGTCGAATAATGACAAAGCCAAGGAATAATGACCGGTAAGGTATTGATTATGATCAGGTAAATAGGGGGAGAGATGGTATCCAATGAACTATAATGAACTTTACAGGGAATCAAGTACTGACAGATAGGAATGTATCAAATAATGATCTGGCAAAATATCAAATAGTCACACTATAAAACAAGACAGGTACGTACTAAGGAGTAGGTCCAGGTCGATATATATCAACAATATCGGAAAATGCTGGATAGACTTGAGCCAAGTAGGTATGGAATAATGACAGCCAGTGATGTACTGAAAGGCAAGGGTCGTATCGATTAATGGACGGGCAGGGAGGTATCGAATATTGCTCGGGCAAAGCAGTATCGAAAAATGAACAGGCATTGGAGGTATCGAATAATGAACAGACATTTGAGGTATCGAGGGTTAGGGTTAGGATTGGTTGAAGCGTGAGAAATGATCGCAGTTAAAAGCACATGAAGTAACGAATCCCAGCTAGTCGCAATTAAGCGATATATGTTACCATAGATTTTCAGCCATACCACAGACACAATGATGCAAATTTAGTGACAAAATTATAAGCATGTTATAATTTACCTGAGGCCTGAAATATACATCACTTTCATTACTGGAAGTGTAACGACCGGCCCAAAACTTGACAGGAGTGATTTTGATTTTTAAAAAGATTGTTTCCAGGTGCTAAGATGAAAATTGAGTTCTAGGACAAAATTATTTGTTGTTCAATAGAACTTGGCATTTGCGAAAAAGAGTAATGACCGACCTAAAAATTGATATAAGAATAATTGATATAAAAAAAACAACCCCGCTGTTTCCAGCTACTAAGACACATATTAAGCTCTAACACAAAGCTATTTATAAAAAATTACAGCTTTGCACTGACCAAAACCCCCCCAACAGATTACATCCATAACAGAATGTGTAACGATCGACAGAAAAATTGACCTTAGTGATTTTCATGTTTAAAAAAAAAGGTTCTTTCCAGCTGTTGAGACGAGACTTCAGTTCTAGAACAACATTATGTTGTTTATTTCAGCCTGGCAAAGGCAAAAATATATGTTTTTTAAAAATTAGATGCCATCCATTACTGAAAGACTAAGGAAAAACCCATAAAATAACCTAAAAGATTTGGGTCGCAAACAAAGTCTGTTTCCAGCTATCAAGAAGAAAATGAAGTTCAAGAACAACATTATTCGTTGTTTACTATAGTTTGGCATTGTCGAAAAACTCAACATTACATCCATTATTGAAAGTGTAACGACTGAATAAAAAAAATTGACTTTAGTGATTTGGATTTAAAAGTACGGTTTCTAACTACTAAGACAACAATTAAGCTCTAGAACAAGTCATTTGTTGTAAACTACATCATTTGGTAATCTTGGAAAAATATACGTGAGGCAACGTGGTGGAATCAGGCTCTTGTCAGTTTTTGGACATGTAGAGTTATTGGTATCATCTTAAAGTGTGTTCACTTGTCTTTATTTGGATGGCAAAAATATCAATTTATCTTAAATACAAGTCGAGATATTTGCGAATGAAGGCGGTGGGGGTCAACTGTTTTCAGAGGTAAAATAAGTGAGAAAATGGCCGCCAAAGATTAGTTATTTCCTTAGCTTAAGAGTCCGTGGAAACCAAAAATTTACTTTTTTGCGCCTTTAATCAACGTTTTTTTAAAGAAAAATCCACCTGCAAATGAGTTCTTTAATGGGCATGAAGGGTGTTAAACAATAAAACAAAAATTTGATAAAAATTCA